ACCTAAGAAAGTGGGTAATAACAAACTTTTCCGACTTAAAGAAGCATGTTCTAACCCAATGCAAGGAAGCTAAGAACCTGAAAAAAGGATACAGGAATTGCTAACTAGAGTAACCAGTTTAGCAAAGAACATAAATGACCTGATGGAGCTGAAAAACACAGAACAAGAACTTCATGAAGCATACACAAGTATCAATAGCCAAATCGATCAAGCAAAATAAAGGATATCAGAGATTGAAGATCAACTAAATGAAATAAAGCATGAAGACAAGATTAGAGAAAAAAGAAGGAAAAGGAATAAAGAAAACCTCCATGAAATATGGCACTATGCGAAAAGACCAAATCTACGTTTGACTAGTGTACCTGAAAGTGACAGGGAGAATGGAACCAAGTTGGAAAACACTCTGCAGGATGTTATCCAGGAGAACTTCTCCAACCTAGCAAGACAGGCCAACATTCAAATTCAGGAAATACAGAGAACACCACAAAGATATTCCACGAGAAGGGCAACCCCAAGACACATAATTGTAAGATTCACCAAGGTTGAAATGAAGAAAAAAATGTTAAGGGCAGCCAGAGAGAAAGGTCGGGTTACCCACAAAGGGAAGCCCATCAGACCAACAGCAGATCTCTCTGCAGAAACCCCACAAGCCAGAAGAGAGTGGGGGCCAATATTCAACATTCTGAAAGAAAAGAATTTTCAACCCAGAATTTCATATCCAGCCAAAATAAGCTTCATAAGTGAAGGAGAAATACAATCCTTTACAGACAAGCAAATGCTGAGATTTTGTCACCACCAGGGCTGCCTTACAAGAGCTCCTGAAGGAAGCACTAAATATGGAAAGGAAAAACCGGTACCAGTCACTGCAAAAACATGCCAAATTGTAAAGACCATCAACACTACGAAGAAACTGCATCGACTAACAGGCAAAATGCCAGCTAGTATCATAATGACAGGATCAAATTCACAGAAAGCAATATTAACCTTAAATGTAAATAGGCTAAATGCCCCAATTAAAAAACACGGACTGGCAAATTGGATAAAGAGTCAAGACCCATCAGTGTGCTATATTCAGGAGACCCATCTTATGTACAAAGACACATATAGGCTCAAAATAAAGGGATGGAGGAAGATCTACAAAGCAAATGGAAAGCAAAAAAAGCAGGGATTGCAAACCTTGTCTCTGACAAAACAAACTTTAAAGGAAAAAAGATCAAAAAAGACAAGGAAGGGAATTACACAATGGTAAAGGGGTCAATGCAACAAGAAGAGCTAACCATCCTAAATATATGTGCACCCAATACAGGAGCACCCAGATTCATAAAGCAAGTACCTAGAGACATACAAAGAGACTTAGATTCTCACACAATAATGGGAGACTTTAACACCCCACTGTCAATATTAGACAGATCAACAAGACAGAAAATTAACAAGGATATCCAGGACTTGAACTCAGCTCTGGAGCAAGCGGACCTAATAGATATCTACAGAACTCTACACCCCAAATCAACAGAATATACATTCTTATCAGCACTACATCACACTTATTCTAAAACTGACCACATACTCGGAAGTAAAACACTCCTCAGCAAATGCAAACGAACAGAAATAATAACAGTCTCTCAGACCACAATGCAATCAAATTAGAACTCAGGATTAGTAAACTCACTCAAAACCACACAACTACATGGAAACTGAACAACCTGCTCTTTAATGACTACTGGGTAAATAACAAAATTAAGGCAGAGACAAATAAGTTCTTTGAAACCAATGAAAACAAAGACACAATGTACCGGAATCTCTGGGACTCAGCTAAAGCAGTGTTTAGAGGGAAATGTATAGCACTAAATGTGCCTAGGAGAAAGCAGGAAAGACCTAAAATTGACACCCTAACCTCACAATTAAAAAACTAGAGAAGCAAGAGCAAACAAATTCAAAAGCTAGCAGAAGACAAGAAATAACTAAGATCAGAGCAGAACTGAAGGAGGTAGAGACACGAAAAAACCTTCAAAAAAAAATCAATGAATCCAGGAGCTGGTTTTTTGAAAAGATTAACAAAATAGATAGACCGCTAGCCAGACTAATAAAGAAGAAAAAAGAGAAGAATCAAATAGACACAATAAAAAATGATAAAGCTGAGATCACCACTGATCCCACAAAAATACAAACCACCCATCAGAGAATACTATAAACACCTCTATGCAAATAAACTAGAAAATCTAGAAGAAATGGATAAATTCCGGGACACACACACCCTCCCAAGACTAAATCAGGAAGAAGTTGAATCCCTGAATAGACCAATAACAAGTTCTGAAATTGAGGCAGTAATTAATAGCCTACCAACCAAAAAAAGCCCAGGACCAGACGGATTCACAGCCAAATTCTACCAGAGGTACAAAGAGGAGCTGGTACCATTCCTTCTGAAACTATTCCAATCAATAGGAAAAGAGGGAATCCTCCCTAACTCATTTTATGAGGCCAACATCATCCTGATACCAAAACCTGGCAGAGACACAACAAAAAAAGAAAAGTTCAGGCCAATATCCCTGATGAACATCAATGTGAAAATCCTCAATAAAATACTGGCAAACCAAATCCAGCAGCACATCAAAAAGCTTATTCACCACAATCAAGTCAGTTTCATCCCTGGGATGCAAGGCTGATTCAACACATGCAAATCAATAAACGTAATCCATCACATAAACAGAACCAATGACAAAAACCACATGATTATCTCAATAGATGCAGAAAAGGCCTTTGATAACATTTAACACCATTTCATGCTAAAAACTCTCAATAAACTAGGTATTGATAGAATGTATCTCAAATGCACACGTATGTTTAATGCAGCACTGTTCACAAAAGCAAAGACTTGGAACCAACCGAAATGCCCATCAATGATAGACTGCATAAAGAAAATGTGGCACATATACACCATGGAATACTATGCAGCCATAAAAATGAATGAGTTCATGTCCTTTGCAGGGACATGGATGAATGATGGTTTCCATCATTCTCAGTTGCCTCTGCTCTCGAGAATGATGGAAATCATCATTCTCAGCAAACTAACACAGGAACAGAAAACCAAACACCACATGTTCTCACTCATAAGCGGGAGCTGAACTATGAGAACACAGGGACACAGGGAGAGGAACATCACAGACCTGGGTCTGTGACTGAGCAATCACAATTGATGGGTGAGTAAACCACCATGGCACGTGTATACCTATGTAACAAACCTGCACGTTCTGCACATGTATACCAGAACTTAAAGTATAATTTTTAAAAAAAAGAGGGAGAAGAGGAAGAAGGAGAGGAAGAGGAAGAAGGAGGAGGAGGAGGAGGCGGTGGCTTCTGGAAGACCCATCACACCAGGCCCAAGGATCACACAAAAAAGACACAATGGGCCACTTTAGAAGCTGTGCTTCTCGAGCGGCTTTGTAGTTCATGTTGCCTCTGCTGTCTTTTGAAAAGTAAAGATAAGTGAGCAGAAAGGTGGGAGCTCCTCCAGGGAGAGCTGCCAAATTCAGGCCAAATACCTTTTCCAGCCCCTTGCACATTTGCATGGGGCCTGGTGAGAGAGACAGAAAGAGAGAAAGGGAGAGAGACACTATACATTATTTCCATATTGCTCTTACTGCTTTGGGCAGAGTCAGGGAAGAAGAGGAAGAAAAGAGAAGAACTGACTGTTTTCACCAGCGGAAACTTTAGCTGGTTAATGTAATACAGGAGTGTAAGAATTTGTTCTTTCCACTAAAGAGAAAACAAGGCCACACATTCCCAATTATACGCTCAGAAAGGGCAGCCAGGGAATGCAGTTCTTGGCAGCAGCAGGCTTTATGACTTGCCTTCAGCATTGCCCATCACAGAGGGGATTTTGCTGGGGACATGGGCAGCCAGAGGTAGTGGGTGCTCAGTCACTAGTGGGATGCTACACAGCAGCCACTGAAGGAGTCCCAGTCCACCCTTCCCTAGGCCTCGAGAGCAGAAGCAACTGCAGGCCCTTCCCCGGCCCTGTGATTCGCATGTCTAACCCCTCCAAAGCATCCAAGTCACATCAGAATAAAAGGACTGGGACACATGGCACTTCTAAAAGTTTATCACCTCCTGCTAAAATATGTTTTTTTTTGGGGGGGGAGATAGCAATTAATTACCAAAAATAAAGAAACCTCGATAAGGAAAAAACGAGCTCCACAGCACCTCCACCCGCCCCCCGCTGCCAACATACATACTAAACCCAACTATAAGGTTCCCTACCCTGCTCAATTCCTCTATACAAAGAAGCATGGAGTGTATATTTAGTACAGCTTCCTCCTCAGAGCTAGCTGATGAACACAGAAGTCAGAAAACCTAACTCAAACATGACTTTTGAAAGAAAGGAGAAAAAGACTACGATCCTCTTTGCTGTTTTCTCTTAACTTACAGAGTTCTCTCCTTTTTAATATTCTAGTGTTCTTAAATCAATCACTTTGGATTTAGAGTTATTGCGAGGGTTCAAGCCTTATCACAAGAAGAATCTCGAATATATAGTGGATCCACTGCTGTCTGATCAATATGCACAATTTAAGGATCTTTAAATAAGGGGAAAAAAACTAATTCAGGCTTCACTAATTCAAAATTAGTGATAAGGCAAAGTACCCTTCAAACTTCAGTCTGAATCAAGTAACTGTGGTTTAGTACACAACTGGAAAGATTAGAGATGGACGGGGTAAGCCATTTAAGATGGCAAACTATCTTCACACACTTCAACAGCATTGCCTTAATGCCTTGTGCCATTAAGGTAGGAATTAGAAATGAGCCTTATCTCTGTATCAAGCAGGTCAATCAAGACTAGCTATAATTAGCAACCAGTGATAATATATGCTGCTGAAATACCTGCCCTTCATTTCAAACATCTCATCCTTCATTCTTTTTGTTATTTCAAGCTGATCTTCTCAGGAATTACTATTTTTTGCTATACAGCATCATCTGCACACAGCAAGACTTCAAAAGGTGCTCACCTCTGAGTCTTTGGCCTGCTGATTACGAATGACTATCAAATTGTACAGGGTTCTGTCGTCATCTGCCTCTGTGTGGGACACATCATGGGGCATACTCCATAAATTCTTCTCATCATCCCTCGCCAGAGTTGCTCCAAATGAGGAATACGGATTGCTATCACTGTTGTATAAAAAAAGGAAAGATTGGGGTTTTATAATACATATAATGTTATATATCATATGCATGCAACATACAATATCAACTAAAACTTATACAATGTAATATATAAATATATTGTCAAAAAGGTCTGAATTATCTTTAATAATTAAGCATAACACAATAGAGCAGTAAAAACAAACCAAAAATACAAATAAATCACTTTAAAAAGAACAGAGAACAGATGTACCTGAGCAGAGGTAATTACTACAGTTAAATATGAAATTCAGCACTGAGTACCCCAGAAGCTAAGACAACAAAGGAAATCCAATTCTTTTTTTTTTTTTTTTTTTTTTTTTTGCTTTGAAACAGAGTCTCGCTTTGTCACCCAGGCTGGAGTGCAGTGGCACAACCTCAGCTCACTACAACCTCTACCTCTCAGGTTCAAGTGATTCTCCTGCCTCAGCCTACCGAGTAGCAGGGATTACAGGCGCCTGCCACCACGCCCGGCTAATTCTTGTATTTTTCGTAAAGACAGGGTTTCACCATGTTGGTCAGGCTGGTCTTGAACTCTTGGCCTTAAGTGATCTGTCCATCTCGGCCTCCCAAAGTGCTGTGATTATAGGGGTGAGTCACTGTGCCCAGCCAGGAATAGAATTCTTGTGTGATTAAAAGAAAACGATTAACAGGAAGGGATGAACGTTTGACTGGCTCTGAGTTCAAGGAAGCACAGTAAACTTGGAGTACAATGATATATAATAGCTATAAAATTCCTTACACCAGGAAAAGTAAGTAATAAATACGCATACCCAAAGACTTTCAATAAACAAGACAGAATGTTGAGTGAGAATTTCAGCAGTCCCGTTTTGTACATTTGTTTTATGATTTATGCCTTATAAGGTGTTACCTGGGTGTGGACTTACAGAGATTAGTGACAGAGCATCACATCTGGGGCATGCCTGCACACAGCCCCAGTTAATTCTGTAACCCCCAGTTGAATTCGGGAATTCGGTGGGAAGGACAGGTAGGGTCATACCGAAGCTATTCACTTCATCTAGTAATATGTATAAAGCACTGACTACATGCTAATCACAGGGCTCAATAAAATTGTGAGCAAAACAGACATCATCCCTGCCCTTGGACCTCACTAGTATGGGAAACACATTAATGAATGATCATCTGACTATAAAATAAAAATTGTGATAAGTGCCATTAAGGGGGAGCTCAGGAGGCCGTGAGAACATATGCAAGCTGCTAAGAGAAAACCCTCACGAAGGCAGGCGTCAGGCAGGCGTCACGAAGAAGAGGTGCTGGAGCACCTCTTCTTAAAGGTTTTTCCACCTTTAAGTGGAAAAACAGGAACAGAGTTGCAGGCAAAGGAAACAGCATCTTCAAAGGCCCGGGGTGGAAGGAAACACAAAATGTTAAGATGTCAATATGGGATGCTCAGAAGTTGGCACTAAGGAAATCTTGCAACAGGAAGCAAAGTGCTAGTCCCCAGATTGGGGTTCAGCAGCAGGAACCCACCCAGCTAGGGAGGGGCTCCAGCCCTAGAGTGATGATGTACAGGTCAGACTGCCAATCACAGTCTCAAATTTTGAAAGACAGGGCCAGGCACGGTGGCTCACACCTGTGATCCCAACATTTTGGGAGGCTGAGGCAGGTGGATCACCTGAGGTCAGGAGTTCAAGACCAGCATGGCCAACATGGCAAAACCCCATCTCTACTAAAAATACAAAAATTAGCGAGGTGTGGTGACACATGCCTGTAATCCCAGCTACTTGAGAGGCTGAGGCAGGAGAATCGATTGAACTGGGGAGGCAGAGGTTGCAGTGAGCTGAGATCGCGCCATTACACTGCAGTCTGGGTGACCAGAGCGAAACTCCAGCTCACAAAAAAAAAAATAAAATAAAATAAAATAAATTGGGACAACAACCAGGGCCCACTTACAAAAACTAGGGCAAAAGGTGGGGACAGAACCTTGGAACCAAGGCTAGCAGGAGGCCAGCTACCCGAATCAGCAGGGGGTTTAGAGACTGAATGTTGAACAGTGCTCCTGAAATCCCTGTGGCTGCAGGTCAGAAGTTTAGGGTCTGGGACTGAACAAAGTACCTGGCCCTATGGGGAAAGGTGCAGATGATGGGAAATCAGACACAGCTCAAGCGCACTATGCTCAGAACCACACTGCTTTTACTGATTGATACCATAAAAGCGAGAACACAGGCAGCCCCACAGCCTGACTCTTCCTGAGAATGAGGAACCAGTGAAAGAGGAGGAAAACGATGCCTTTGGGCGCTGCCCATGTGAACGATGCCTTTGGGCGCTGCCCATGTGAACGATGCCTTTGGGCGCTGCCCATGTGAGCATGTTAAATTCATTCATTTCATTCATTCCATTGTTTGTTTATTCAACAAATGTGGAATAAATGCCTGCTGTATACTGAGTCCTGCGCTGGGTGCCATGGGGACATGAAGATAAATGGGACATTGTCTCTGCCCTTAACATAACTATAATGCAATGAGATCAGTACATTAAAAAAAAAAAAAAAGCATGCACAGATTGTTGTAGGAACAAACTGGAAGAAGTGATAAGTTATGTATGATGAGAAGGAAGTTCAAGAACTAACCAGACCTGAGGACTGAACAGGCTTCCAGCAGGAAGAGAAACAAGGGCAGAGTTATTCCTCGCAGAAAGATCAGCTCAAGTCAAAGCAGTATATGGGGGCTTTGGGAGCCCACAGGATTGGGGAATCGAAGTATTCCTGCATGACTGCAGCATGTGGTGCGTGGAGCAAGGAAAATGGAGGGACATAAAGAAGAAAAGGTAATATGGGGTCAGATTAAAAGTAGTGCTGGCGTCCAAGCTTCATTCTGTGAACTGCAACATTATCAACAGGCTTTTGAGCCATGTCAGGTCTGGATTTTAGAGAAATAACTCTGGGTGAAGGAAGAACAAGAAGATGGCTTAGGAGGGTGTCACAATCAACTGTCACAGGGGGTAGGGGTAATTTTCAAGCCATGCTCTTTGAGGTCCTGGTGTCAGGGGGCCTTGGGACCACAGTGGGGCAGGAGTAGAGAAAGAGATGGGCAGGGCTTCTCTGGCAGAGATAGAAAGAACCCACAAACCAACCACAACCAGGGCAGCTTCTCCATTCAAATAGTCTTTGTTAGAGCTAGAAGGAAGGTTGTTTGAGGCTCAGGAAAAATGGGGTTCTATCGCTAAACAAATACATAATTTTGAACATTCTGAAATTATGATTGAGATAAAAGTAAGTGAGGTTGAGAGTGAGGGAAATAGCAGTGAGAGTGGAAATGAGGACTGATTCCAGCAGCATCTGAGAGGGGTGACAGCAGCCCATCATGGGAGGCACAGAGGTACCAGCAAAGGTGATGCCTTTAACTGCAACGTATGGGGCAGAAGCCAAGGCTGACCTCATGAGTCTGCAGAATGTTCACGGAGATGTCAGGGACCTGGGTTTAGGAACGAGGACAGGGCAGAGATCTAGATGTGGGAGCAATATACAGCATTTCATGGCATCACAGAAGCAGGTCAGAGAATCAGAAGAACAGTCTTAGGGGATTAGGAGACGGAAAAGAATAGGTGAGTCCAGAAAGCGAGATCAGGCAGGACAAAGAGGAATGCCAAAGAGCAGGTGGACACCACAGAAGTGTCAATAACATGAAGGATGCTGACTCCAATTTCTTTCTGCAGCCGATGATATGCAACCACTGCATAATATATTCAGGGCTTGAGCCAAGGGCTCCTGCATTCCACCCTTCATGTTACACAAGCATGGGTCCCGGTGTCAGGACCCATCCTTTGCAGATAGGGACAAGAATACTGCAGTTCTTGACTTCTTCTGGGCCAGGCAGCCAGCTGACAGTCCCCCCAACATGAGTTCCTGGGTGGGGATCCCAGAGAAGCCACTGTCATATAACTCAGCATCCAAATGCCGTGACAGGGATGAACTCACAGTGAAGCAGCTCAGATCCTGACTACCTATGTGGATGCTCCCTGTACAAACCAGCAGGTGCCCCTGGGGGCTTGTCTCCAGGACTCACTCTCCTTGAGTCACCCAGACCTGGCACAGAGCTCCCACCAAGAGCGGCAACCATGGCTTCCAACATCACAATAAATGCACTTCTGGGGCAATGAAACCCTGGTACTTTTCCTGACATCGGTCTTCCATCTTCTCCCAGATGTGTTTCATTTCTATGTCTTGTCTCCTCAACAGGTGGGTCAGTTCCTGTAGGGCAGGGGTTGTATCCAGTTTCTCTTCTACATTTCTACATTTCTTTCCCACATCACCTAGCAGGGTCCTAGGACACAGCAGTTGCCTTAAAAGCACTTGTTGAATGCAACAAACTGCGCTGTAACTCCGAAATCTGCTGAAGGAAATCCCAGACATAACTCATGGTACCGCCTTTTAAAAATTTCCCTAAAGCAGGAGCTTTAGAAAGGAGCCAGTACGTACCTGAAAAATCAGTAAAAATAACATTAGACCATGAATAATTTAGCCACCTTTTACTTTGCTAAGCCACAATTTCTTTTCCTATTTTAAAATGACGATCTCAGCCGCCTCCCTGGCCAGTTCCCCACCCTCTCACAACCTCTCTCTCTGTCTCTCTGTCCCTCCTCTCTCTTGCTCTCTCTCACTCTCGCTTCTTTTCCTCTTTCTCTATTTCTCCTCTCCTCTCTCTAGCTGTCTCTGCATCTCTGTCTCTCCTCTCTTTCTCTCGCCTATCACATCCATCCACACACATACACGCATGACTTCAGCCAGCATAAAACACTAGCCTCTCATCCTTCATCTACAAGCCCAAGTAAAGCTCCATAGGAAGGTCAACCCCAGCCTGTTTAGAAGTGCCCATGTCTCCAGAAGGTGAGTGCCTCCTGGGATCTCACCATATCTAGCCCTGCCCTAATTAGAAGCAGTGTTCCCCTAACAAGCCTCCAACTCTGCCTCGTCACTGATACTCAGGGGATGATGTAAATCAGGAAAGAGAACCAACTGCTATGCCCCT